CACTGTCCATCCAGAAAGTGGGCGACATTACCCCATAAAGATAGACCACAACAAGGGAAAGTAACACATGGGAGCAGGTCAAAAGGAAGGCTGGAGATCATCCACAGGGGACTGCAGATCACCGACCTGAGGTAACTGCTGGCACTGTCCAGTGAGAGGTGATTGGGTACACCCATTGGCCAGATGTTTTCCCACCAAAATATTTGTCACCAATCCAACACTCAGCTGACTGAAGATCTGCCCAGCATCTGAGGTAAATCTTCCCAGCAACAGCAAACAGCTTGTAACCTGAAACACAAAACAGAAAGAACCAGCAAAGCCGACCTAGAGAGACATGTACTCAACAGTCACCATAGCCCTCTATTACTGTATAATTCATTAAAAAAAACAAATGGGTGATAGGGAGGACAATCCCATGGGGACTCATTTCTAGTTTTTTCTTTCAAGGCCCTAACAGGAAGCTCATTCAGAGAGTCAAAGGGGTGGATTTACCCAAGGCACATAGACTGTGCACTTTGCAAGTGTAGTTGCTCCAGAGCTTAGTAAATGAGGTGAAGCTTCACTTTGCAAAGAAGACCCAATCATATGCAAATCAAATCAAATTTTAAAAAACAGCATTTTGGCTTGCAGATGATTGGATGATGGCTGTCAGCAGAGATTCCCCTCATTTACTAAGCTCTGGAGCAACTGCATTTGCAGAGCGCAATCACATTTACAGAGTGCACAGTCTATTCGTCTTTACTAAATCCATCCCAAAGTTTCACACTGGATGCATGCCTCTTGTATTTAGACAATTTTTGCTTATTCCACGTGAATCCACCAATAAGGATACCATATAGAAAACATCATTAACCCCTTGCTGCCCCAACAAATTCAGTTCTAGGGGAGCCAATAGGGAGTGCCTCAGAAGAACAACGGAACACATACGTGGAGGCTAGGCATTAAGGCCCACTTGCTGTGCTGCTGCACACACATGTAAGGATGAGGAAGAAAATATATGAATCATGGCCAACTTTTAAGGCACCCAACACAGAAGACAATCACTAATATTAGAGCTGAGCTTTGGTTTGTTCTGAATCCAGAATCCAGAGGTTAGCTGTCATTGCAGGACGAATGAGCTCTATGTGGGAGATTTGCATGTATACAGAGGGGTGGGGATGCTCCTGACATCATTGACCTGAGATGGGTACATCGCCTAGTAGGTCATTTATGTCACAAGCATCCCTGGCCTTTTATATAAGTGCAGCTGTGGGGTGGGGAATCTCCTGCCCTCAGCTCACTGGCCCAGCAATGACGGGTAAGTTCCGGGTTCAGACCAGAGGCATAACTAAGGCTCTTCCCACTGATCCCGGCGCCTTTTACTCTTGTCGTGGGGCCATTTATTATGGTCCTGCAGCAAGACCCTTTCACTTGTTCTGCAGCGGGCCCCTTTCCTGCCATCTTAGGGTTCCCCCACGGTGGCAGAAAGACCAGTTCTGGCTGTGAGTGCAACCATGGTAGTTCCGCCACTGGTGTCAGTAGTGTTTTATTTTTATTATTTCATTTTTTTACTATTTTTTTACCATTTTTTTTTTACAGTTTTTTAAATTATTTTTTACTATTTTTTTTAAGGAGCCCTGTTAGGGGACCTTGGTGAGATATCAGGGGTCTAAACAGAGCTCGGATGTTTCACTTTGAGACAGAGAAAGGAGATAGAGGACACAGTCCTCTATCTCCATCTCTGCAGCCTCAGCAGCACAGAATGAATGGACAGGAATAGGTCTGTACAGAGCTTCCTGTTCATTCACATACTGAAACAAAGTAAACACAGCTTACTATACTTCAATTAAGAATAAACAGAGTCAGTGGTCTGTACTAATCACTGACCCTGTCCATTCACAAAGTTAGAGGCAGGTAAATGACATATTTACCAGCCCATTCCTTGCTCTCCATCAGGGTACATCACCCGCAGCAGCCAGCAAGACAGGGGAGTGGGGAAGGCAGTAGCACTGCAGGGGGATGAAGAGGGCAAAGGAAGCACTTGGGGGGCAGCAGAAGACAAGTAATCTGGACAGAAGGGGTGGAAAACAGGAACCGATCACCTCCATTTTCCTCTTGATTGCTTGTGGGAAGAAGAGGAGAAGCTGGCTTTCTGCGGCTGCAGGAAGAAAATGGACGTAATTGGTTCCTCTATATGCCGCTCCAGCTGCCCCTCCTATCCAAGTGTATAGGGGAGCCACACAGACCTCCTGGGGCATGGGGCCGGGTCACAACTGTGACCCCTGCGGCCCCTGTAGTTACGTCCCTGGTTCAGACCAAACCCAGGCTCATCACTAATGAAGATTACAATTAATCATTTGTAATTAATTCATATAAAAATGACAAGACTGATCATAAAAGCATTTGGTGGTAAGAGGCAGCTAACTTCCCACCCCATGTTCCACAAATAGAGGTAAGTAAATAAAGTAAAGTAACATGCTCGGCATGCCAGGCAAAATGTGTTTGGTCAGGGCTCAGAACTGTATATTGCACAGGGCCTAATGTTCACGAATGTGAAACGCACAGAGTACAGGGCACATGAATGCTTATTGTTCAGGACTCAGGAAAGCATATCACACAGGGCTCAGGAGTGGGTAACACAGGCCAGTGTACAACCAAAGATTATCTTACTCCCAACCACCCCTTATCCCTACATAGCTCTCTCCAAGAGTATGCAGGCAGTTCTTGGAGGATGAAGGAACTGATATAACTGAATGGCCCCCACGCTCGCCTGACCTAAATTCAATAGAACACCTCTGGGATATCATGTTTTGGTCCATTCAACGCTGCCAGGTTGCACCTCAGACTGTCCAGGAGCTCCGTGATGCCTTGGTCCAGATCTGGGAGGAAATACCCCTGGACACCATTTGTTGTCTCATTACGAGCATGCCCCAATGTTGTCAGGCATGTATACAAGCACATGGGGGGCCATACAAACTGCTGAGTACCATTTTGAGTTGCTACAATGAAATTTCAGCAAAATGAACTAGCCTGCTGCATCATTTTTTTCACTTTGATTTTTGGGGTGTCTTTGAATTCAGTTCTCTGGAGGTTGATCTTTTTCATTTCCATCAGATGATGGGGCATCCTTACATTGCTAATATATTAACCAGTCCATATCAGGATATCCAGCATGATATCCAACATGATATTTTTCCCCATTGAGATCTGATGTGTTTTTAAAGTGCTCCTTTAATTTTTTTGAGCATATACACATATATATATACAGTCAGGTCCATAAATATTGGGACATCGGCACAATTCTAACATTTTTGGCTCTATACACCACAATGGATTTGAAATGAAACAAACAAGATGTGCTTTAACTGCAGACTGTCAGCTTTACTTTGAGGGTATTTACATCCAAATCAGGTGAACGGTGTAGGAATTACAACAGTTTGCATATGTGCCTCCCACTTGTTAAGGGGCCAAAAGTAATGGGACAGGATAATAATCATAAATCAAACTTTCACTTTTTAATACTTGGTTGCAAATCCTTTGCAGTCAATTACATCCTGAAGTCTGGAACGCATAGACATCACCAGACGCTGGGTTTCATCCCTGGTGATGCTCTGACAGGCCTCTACTGCAACTGTCTTCAGTTCCTGCTTGTTCTTGGGGCATTTTCCCTTCAGTTTTGTCTTCAGCAAGTGAAAAACATGCTCAATCGGATTCAGGTCAGGTGATTGACTTGGCCACTGCAGAACAATCCACTTCTTTCCCTTAAAAAACTCTTTGATTGCTTTTGCGGTATGCTTTGGGTCATTGTCCATCTGCACTGTGAAGCTGTGTCCAATGAGTTCTGAAGCATTTGGCTGAATATAAGCAGATAATATTGCCCAAAACACTTCAGAATTCATCCTGCTGCTTTTGTCAGCAGTCACATCATCAATAAATACAAGAGAACCAGTTCCATTGGCAGCCATACATGCCCACGCCATGACACTACCACCACCATGCTTCACTGATGAGGTGGTATGCTTACGATCATGAGCAGTTCCTTTCCTTCTCCATACTCTTCTCTTCCCATCACTCTGGTACAAGTTGATCTTGGTCTCATCTGTCCATAGGATGTTGTTCCAGAACTGTGAAGGCTTTTTTAGATGTCGTTTGGCAAACTCTAATCTGGCCTTCCTGTTTTTGAGGCTCACCAATGGTTTACATCTTGTGTTGAACCCTCTGTATTCACTCTGGTGAAGTCTTCTCTTGATTGTTGACTTTGACACACATACACCTACCTCCTGGAGAGTGTTCTTGATCTGGCCAACTGTTGTGAAGGATGTTTTCTTCACCAGGGAAAGAATTATTCGGTCATCCGCCACAGTTGTTTTCCGTGGTCTTCCGGGTCTTTTGGTGTTGCTGAGCTCACCGGAGCGTTCATTCTTTTTAAGAATGTTCCAAACAATTGTTTTGGCCACGCCTAATGTTTTTTCCTATCTCTCTGATGGGTTTGTTTTGTTTTTTCAGCCTAATGATGGCTTGCTTCAATGATAGTGACAGCTCTATGGATCTCATATTGAGAGTTGACAGCAACAGATTCCAAATGCAAATAGCACACTTGAAATGAACACTGGACCTTTTATCTGCTCATTGTAATTGGGATAATGAGGGAATAACACACACCTGGCCATAGAACAGCTGAGAAGCCAATTGTCCCATTACTTTTGGTCCCTTAACAAGTGGGAGGCACATATGCAAACTGTTGTAATCCCTACACTGTTCACCTGATTTGGATGTAAATACCCTCAGATTAAAGCTGACAGTCTGCAGTTAAAGCACATCTTATTCGTTTCATTTCAAATCCATTGTGGTGGTGTATAGAGCCAAAAATGTTAGAATTGTGTCGATGTCCCAATATTTATGGACCTGACTGTACATAAACAATATATTGCCAAAAGTATTGGGACACCTCTCCAAATAATTGGATTTAGGTGTTCCAATTACCTATATGGCCACAGGTGAATAAAATCAAGCATCTAGGCATGCAGACTACTTCTACAAACATTTGTGAAAGAATGGGTCATTCTGAGGAGCTCAGTGAATTGAAACGTGGTACTGTGATAGGTTGCCACATGTGCAATAAGTCCATCCATGACATTTCCTTGCTACTAAATATTCCATGGTCAACTGTTAGTGGTATTATACCAAAGTGGAAGCCATCGGGAGCAACAGCAACTCAGCCGCCAAGTGGTAGGCCACGTAAAATGACAGAGCGGGGTCAGCGCATGCTGAAGCGCACAGTGCGCAGAAGTCGCCATCTGTCTTCAGAGTCAATAGCTAAAGACCTCCAAACTTCGTGTGGCCTCCAGATTAGCACAAAAACAGAGCGCAAAGAGCTTCATGGAATCGGTTTCCATGACCAAGTAGCTGCATCGCAAAGTGCAATGCAAAGCGTCGTATGCAGTGGTGTAAAGCACACTGCCACTGGAATCTAGAGCAGTGAAGAATCACGCTTCTCTGTCTGGCAATCTGATGGACATGTCTGGGTTTGGTGGTTGCCAGTAGAACGGTACTTGCCTAACTGCATTGTGCCAAGTGTAAAGTTTGGTGGAGGGGGGATTATAGTGTGGGGTTGTTTTTCAGGGGTTGGGCTTGGCCTTAGTTCCAGTGAAGGGAACTCACAAGGCGTCAGCGTACCTAGATATATTGGACAATTTCATGCTCCCAACTTTGTGGGAACAGTATGGGGATGGCCCCTTCATTTCCCAACATGACTGCACACCCGTGCACAAAGCAAGGTCCATAAAGACATGGATGAGTGAGTTTGGGGTGGAGGAACTTGAGTGGCCTGCACATATTCCTGACCTCAACCCGATAGAACACCTTTGGGATGAATTAGAGTGAAGACTGCGAGCCAGGCCTTCTCGTCCGACATCAGTAGCTGATGTCGGACAAGAAGGCCTGGAAGAATGGTCAAACATTCCTATAGACAAATGAGCTTCTGGAAGAATGGTCAAATATTCCCATAGACAAAACTCCTATACCTTGTAGACAGCCTTCCCAGAAGAGTTGAAGCTGTTTTAGCTGCAAAACGTGGGCCAACTCAATATTGAACCCTACGGACTAAGACTGGGATGCCATTAAAATTCAGGTGCGCTTAAAGGCAGGCGTCCCAATAATTTTGGCAATATAGTTTATATACTTATATAAACAAAGTATATACTGTATGTAGCAGATGGAATGTATTGAGAACGGTCTCTATGTGTTTCGCAGTTACAAACACTCTATTCTTCTTTGTTGATGAAGAAGAGCCTGGTGGGTGAATTAGCCCCTAGATCCTTTTATGCCTTGGATGTGAGTTTCTTTCCTCTTGGGTGTTTATACTGTTCCAGCCCACTTTATGTGTTTTAGCTTCCTATGCTGCATTTTCCCCTAATATGAAATAAACTACAAATAGATAAAATGGGAGTCCCTCATTTTGGTAGAATGTCAGAGTGGAACTAAACCCCCCTATCCTGTAAAAACAAGCAAGCTTGTAGGTGGGGTCAATTGCACATGGACACAACGTTTAGCTTTCCAGGCACCATTAGAGTCCCTGGCACAGACTCAGGTTTGCTAAAGTGAACCCCCACACCCCCCCGAAGGAGTCAATACACCTCATGTCAATATAACACATAGCAAGAAAGCATCAACATCTTCCACCCCTCCTCGGAAATATCCAAAGGCCTACTTTACATACAGTTTCCAGGTATAGGCCATAGCACCAAAGTGAGTCCAGTCCAATATTTTCTTTCTTAATTTCTTTAATAAATGGTAAGGTTAATTCAAACATTTTTTCAATACAGAGCACAGTCAGCTAACATGTATCCAGCCATAATGCAGGTGATCTTTCCTCTTGCCCTGTTCTGGGGTTGCTAAGCAGATACTGTCTCCCTGGCTGAGCCCAATGGGAAAGAGATAGATGTTCAGGGCTATCCCCAGGCGAGGTAAGCCCTCTTTACAAGTTGGGAGTCTCAGCCGTGGCACAGAGCTCTGAAGGAACAGCACGGGTATGCCGTTCCTTCTGATCGCATGTACCAGTCACTGGCTGCAGGGACACTGAATATCTCCTAAAATAGTGCATCTTTAGGAGATATTCATTGTACCTATAGGTAAGCTTTATTATAGGCTTATCTGTAGGTACAAGTGTCCAGTGGCAGTTTACTCCTACTTTACCACCCTCCTACAAACTGCCATCTTAGCTCCTGTTTGACCTGCAAATGCCATCATATTGCACATGTGATCAGTTATGATGCTGGCTGTTTGATGGCTTGACAGTTCAGGTTTTTTCTTCATTTTAGACAGAAAAAGAGAGGGTTGTAAGGCTGTAAGGTTGTCAGGTTTTTTTTCCATCTGGGTCCCACTGGGGAGTATTCCCTTCACTTTCTATCCCATAGCCACAACAGGCTGTGGGAGGATATCCCTCCAAAGTAAGGAAATCCTTGGTTATCACCAGGGACACAAAAACTAGTGTCCCCATTGGAAGATTTACCCTCAATTACAGTTGTTGGGACAGTCCAAAATGTGGAATTTGATTTTTTCACTTTCACATGATAACTGTAAACAGGTCAAATAGAGAGGGTGAATCCCCCTAACAAGGATACAGTCAGCAATAAACATCCCTCTCCATGCTGTCCAAAACAGAAACAAAAAATTAAATGTGGCTTCCAACTGCTGGAGGAAGCACATGTGGGTTTAGTTCTGTGGTAAGTGTTTGGGTGATTCAGTTCTATGTGTACTGTCCTTTTATTCCCTAGAGTCACACCATATTACTACATGATTATAATAACAATATATTAACAGAGGGGTTGTAGGCACAAGAAACAGAAATAGTGTTTTTCTAGTAGAGTGGGGCAAGGCTAGAACCCCTGTCTTGTTTTTATCTGTGGGTCACTAATCCTTCCCCACTCTATCCAAATCTAGAAAAAAAGCATTTTGACTTACATAGTTACATAGTTAGTCTGGCTGAAAAAAGACAAAAGTCCATCCAGTTCAACCATTAAAAAAAAAAAAAGTTATAATCCTATACCAACAGTTGATCTAGAGGAATGCAAAAAAAACCCAGCAAAGCATGATCCAATTTGCTCCTGCAGGGAAAAACATTCCTTCCTGATCTCCCGAGAGGCAATCGGATATTTCCTGGATCAACTTTACCTATAAATGTTAGCATCCAGTTATATTTTGTGTATCTAGGAAAGAATCCAGGCCTTTTTTAAAGCAATCCACTGAGCTGGCCAGAACCAACTCTTGAGGGAGTCTATTCCACATTTTCACAGCTCTCACTGTGAAGAAACCTCTCCGTGTTTGGAGATTAAATTTATTTTCCTCCAGACGTAAAGAGTGCCCCTTTGTCCTCTGTGATGACCTCAGGGTGAATAACTCTACACCGAGTTCACTATATGAACCACTGATGTATTTATACATGTTGATCATATCCCCCCTTGATCTCCTCTACCCAAGAGAGAATAATTACAATTCCTTTAATCTTTCCTCATAGCTGATCTCCTCCATGCCTCTTATCAGTTTGGTTGCCCTTCTCTGTACTTTCTCCAGTTCCCCAATGTTATTTTTGTGAATTGGTGCCCAAAACTGAACTACATATTCCAGATGAGGTCTTACTAATGATTTGTACAGGGGTAAAATGATATCTCTCTCTCTGGAGTCTATACCTCTGTTAATACAAGAGAGGATTTTGCTCGCTTTAGAAACCGCAGCTTGGCATTGCATGCCATTATTAAGCTTGTGATCTTCCAGAACTCCCAGATCCTTCTCCACCATTGATTCCCCCAGTTGTACTCCCCCTAGTATGTATGATGCATGCATATTCTTAGCCCCCAAGTGCATAACCTTACATTTATCAACATTAAACCTCATTTGCCACATAGTTGCCCAATTAAACAGTGCATTAAGGTCAGCTTGTGAGTTGAAGACATCCTGTAAGGACGTTATTCCACTGCACAGCTTGGTGTCATCTGCAAAGACTGAAATGGGATTTTAATCTCAGACCCTATATCGTTTATAAATATATTAAAAAGTAAGGGTCCCAACACTGAACCTTGGGGTACACCACTGACAACCCTAAACCATTCAGAGTATGAATCATTAACCACTACTCTTTGAATACGATCTTTTAGCCAGTTTTCTATCCATTTATATACTTGATATACACTTTTATCTTAACCGTACCATGGCAACATTTATTAAGGGATGGCTTGCTGTTGTTGTGAGGAACAGCTTAGCTAAAAGCTGGATTCAGAAATGCTTTACTTGGTAATGGGGACTTATCGGTACGTCATGGGATATGTACTAAGCTTATGTTTAATAAAGATAATCCTTCTTAAATATTCAGCATGTAAACCCACTATAGCTACATGGCTTACATAACAATATCTGTGTCTGTGTAATTATGTTATACAAATTCACATTTACATTGCAGCCAGTTAGCATGTTTAGTGGATACGCATGTTTATAAGCTTCCAGAACTCTAGTGGAAAATCAAAGGAGCAGGGTGGAAATTTCTCGGCCAAAGAGCGATTTCAGCCAGACAGCTGCAGCCACTGTTCAGGTATTCTGACAGCCACGGGTGCGGGCTCTCAATAGCCATCAGGGGAGATTCTGCCATGCATCCATGCTGTTCAGCATGGGAGGGGGAAACAATGCATTTTTCTCAAGTGTTTGGCCAGCCATTGATTAGCTCACCGCTATAGCCTCTCACCTTGTAACATGCTACAAAGTTACAATGCGAACACTGTGAGAGAGCAGACCAAGGGCTTGTTCACAAAAGGGGCCCAGAGGCAGTAGGAATAGACTGCTGAGCTCATGCAGTTTTACTGCCCCCTCAATTTGCCCCCCTTAATCTAACACAGCAGCTGGAGGGGGCAGTAAATGTGCTGTGGCTACAATGTTTCAAAATGGTGTAAGCTAGGCTCATTAACATACACGCATTTTTCTTGCATATGCATTAGTACAGTGTTTAAGAACACATTCAAATGCATCTTTTGTAAACGAGCCCTAAGGAAAGATTTACCTCCTGCCTACAGCTTACTGATGACTTCATCATAGTTAAGGCAAAATTACTTGGGTGGAGGTCAATGACTACTTTTTAAGGATAAAATGTACAGCTGTTAAAAAAATAAAACAATAATATGACAGGTCAAGAATGTATTCATAAAGACTCGTAAACTTACCGAAAGGTCCGTTTTAAAGCCTAAATTTAGTCAAAGAAGGTTTTTAGGAAATCAGCACAAGTGACATTACACTCAATAAGAAGTGTCCCTTGTGCTGCTGGCTGTGGTTTTAGTTGAAATCCTCTGTTCTCTGGTCCTCCACCGTATCCCTGCCGCTGCAATCTTATGGTGCTGCGGGGGTTAATAAAGCTGAGGGACCTGTCATATACATACATCAAGAGTGCCAGCTGTAAACACCCTTTCTGCCCCATTCACACATTAATAAAAGC